TTTAACTAATTATTTATTTTCTCTTAAATTGCCAAGTTACAAAGGTGAAACATAGACAAAAATGGAATGAGACAAATTCATTTAGTTAAGAAAACTATTTCAGAAATGTAAAATTTGGGAATTGCCTACTTATTTCCAAAAGCAAAGGTTTCTCATGATTAGGAAAACAAAGACGAATGGGCCGGAAGAATAGGTGTCAGAATGTATAACTGAATTAAGTAGGAAAAGCCCAACAAAAATAAAAGTTCATCAACACAATACTTATAGTTCATGAACAAGAAGATACTCTATTTCAACAATTTGAATCAGCCAATGAGGAATACTACAGTCTAAAACAGCATCATAAACATCATCACGTGTTTAGTCATCTAGAGAGAAAAAAAACATTATTCCATAAATTGTAGTGATAAAAATACACTGGAATTAGGCGGGTTTCTATTTTTTGAAAAGGTTAGGTGGTTTTACCTGTGTTAGGCAATCTCCAATTCATTCACCTATCGTTCACTATAGAATATAATAATTCTAGAATTGAGTTTTTTCTCTAAACCTTTTAATCGTTAAACTCTATCCCATTTTCTTTTTTAAGTTTGAAGTACATTCATTTTCCACTGAATTATTAATTGTTAAAGAATACCATCCATTTATCAAAATTACGAGTTTTCCAAAGTTATTTTATTTTTAGCATAATTTAATAAAATATTATTTTATAATAAGATAATCATTTATTATTTCAAACCAATTCCATTGATTTTTTTTTTCTTTTAAAAAGACAAAAAGAAGATATGAAGCATCACCAATCGTTAGTATAGAGTTCTACAAATAGCTGGAAAAAGTTATTTATTATATTGATTAAGTATGAAATATAGTGATTAATAATCCGCATAATGCGTATTGTTGAAAAAAATAGAATGATAAATATTATTATCGTATATTTGTAGTTATATCATTCGGTATTCTATTTTAGAGTTAAAATAAAAGTAGGATCGGATAAAAAAAATTGTATAATAAAGTTGAAGGTAAAAAATAGATTAGGGTTGAAGATGCTTAGACAATCACATCCTAGTAAATACATAACCAAGATAACATAGTTTAGAAAATAAATAAACGCATAACAAAAATAGCATAGTTTAGAAAATAAAGAGAGATCTTTGAAAAAAAAATTGAAATTCACTATAGAAACTTCACAATGCTCATCTAAGCTCTACTCATGAGGTAAAACGTACAATGTATGAAGATAACAATGTGAAACAAAGAGATTTGGGTAAAAATGTGACAATCTTAAGCATATAAAATATTTTATACAAGGATAATTTCTAACTAGAAATTCCAATTTAAATCTCCTCCGAATTATATATCTTGTTTCTCTTAAAATAGCACCAATAATGTCAGGCAACGGGTCGATATAATGTCATTTTCAGTGGGAATTGATTTAAGAGCATGGCCACATGCTGCTTTAATCATATCTTTAAG